TACTTTTGCAAAATAACTATATCACGTACTGTCATTTTGGCAAATTGGTTATTATTATATATTATTATCTTTAAAAATGTGTCGGAAAGTATTTGAAAAATTATTTACATTTTAAAGGAGGGCTATTATTTTGACCGCAATTAAATCTTTTCATCAAAGCTTTCCAATTAGCAAACAGCAAAACATTCTTGCCTCGGAACAACTTTGATGAACTTTTTTGATCCATTTCAGATGCTGACTGCTGTATTATTTCAAATTCTTGTAGTGTTTGCATCATTAAATACAATTGTATTTAATGATGCAAACACTACAAGAATTTGAAATAATTTTGATACACTTATTGAGAAACAGGCTAAACAAAAAGCATAGTGGCAACGTATAAAGAGTTAATCATTTGTAGTTTGAAGCTGCTGCAATTTTATCAAATAAATCTTATCCTAAAAAAATGTCAGACAAAATCAAATTTATTATAATACTGTAAAAAAGCAAAAAGTTATATTAATAGTAAAAGCGGGTAATTCTGCTGCCTTCAAAGCAACAAGTTAACTTAAAAAAGTGAGTAAACATGTTGACTTAATTTTTTATCATTATGCATAAATATACTTTAAAGGTCAACTAATTGCTTTTTACAAAGTAGTTTGTATCAATCATCATAATAAATGACATTTTTGCAACTGTTTACTGTAAATCCTGAATGGTAAAATAGTATAACACATTTATTAGTGATAGTTGAAAACCAGTGCCAAAAACAGTGCCATTTTATAAATAATTTTCAGATAATGAAAGAGCACAACATTATTACTGTTGTTGTTGCATTTATTATCTCCACATATCGTTATATACCACGTCAAGTCTGGATAAACATTTTGCTACTTTGTGTCGCCACCCTAAGGTTAAAAGCAGCAACACGTTTAACAGCAACGCATTTTTAAGGGATAGTTCACTCAGAAATGTAAATTGACTCACTATTTGCTCAAATGGTTCCAAACCTTTATAGGTTTCTTTCTTCTTTTGAACACTAAAGAAGATTCTTGAAGAAAGCTAAAAACCTGTAACCACTTTTTTTCTTAACATGGAAGTGGTTACAGGATTTCAGCTTTCTTCAATTATCATCTTTAGACCTTTTCTGGTTAAGATTTTAAAATAAAAGTCTTCTTCTGTGTTTAACAAAGGAAGAAAAAAATGTCATAAAGATTTAAAACAAGTAAAAAGTGAGTAAATTATTTACATTTTCGGGTGAACTATACCTTCAACACAACACATTTATATTATTCTTGGCTGATTACATTTCTCTGAATATACCAATGAAATGCTTATTAATTAATTTCAGAAATAATCAGAAACTTGGTGCTGTAGTTATACAGTATATTGCTGTATATATTAATGTAGTCACAAATGTACAGTTTTGTACATTTATAGCACAAATGCAATTAAATTAAACCATTTATTAAATGTACATTTTATTTTTATTTAATTAAATGTAAAATGTAATGTAAAAGTGTTAACATTGAATTATTAATACTATTAACAACAAAAATGTGTACAAAAACTAACCTAAAAGATCAATTTAAATGAATGCTAAATATATTTTTAAATGGAGGAAACAATTAAAACACGGTAAAACTCACCCTATCAGCAACAACTTATCTGTTGCAGCTTTAGAAGGTTAGGGAAACTGAATGAAATAAATTATCTTCTCATGATAAAGAGAGCTTATAATAAAAAAAGGTCACAGGCATCAAGGAAGAAGATTCTTTATGGCTTTCAGAAATGTCAGCATATATAAAAGGAATGCATTCATGTAAATCAGTAAATAGCAGACACTCAAAAATCATAAGAACTCAAACCTTCCAAGGAAAATGATGATATTTAGACTGCTTACAGCATTCAAAAACCATTTGTAACAACTTTTACTTGACATATGATTAAAACATTCAGAAAGAAAACATCCCAGCAATCCTAAAAAAAATCAGTAACTTAAAAACATCATTCAAGGCATGTAAATATTTCATTCACTCATATAATATGCAGCAAAAATAATCAAAAAAAAAATCATGAATGTGAAAAAAGTTTGATGAGGATTGGGGACATTTACTACTTCTGAAACTTTTTTTACGCATGCTATTGTATAATGAGCACAACAGACTCAGATTATCTGACATTTCTCAGTTATCTGAGTCTCTGATAACTATTAGTGCATTGGTTGAGGCATTTTCCAAACTGCTAACTCATTAGTGCAAATAATTGATGAGCAAGAAGTGTTTCTGTTCGACTAATGACTCCGTTACCTCATTGATTTCTGCATCAGTGTATCCCACAGTGTAGAGACGTGGCTCACTCAGTCAGTGTGTAACTAAAATATTGATATACAATCATTTACAAATGCATTTGATAAAAGAATGAAGTATACTGATTTACTTGCACATATTTGACTTTTGATGACAGCAATTTGTGCTGTTGTATCTCTATTGGTTGAGAAATACAACTTGTCCAAACTCGGTCCTTGAGGGCCGGTGTCCTGCTGAGTTTAGCTCCAATTTGCTTTAACACACCTGCCAGGAAGTTTCTAATATATCTAGTAACAGCGTGATTAGCTGGTTCATGTGTGTTTAGATTTGGGTTGGAGCTATACTCTCTAGGACACCGGTCCTCCAGAACCGAGTTTAAACATTGACCTTATTTTTCAATGCGGAAGTGCGCTCGTTTTTGGGGATTGATTTAGAACCTCTAATTCAGTTGTATATGGGAGATACAAACAAAAGTGTCCATGACTATACACACAATGCAAACAAGCCAGAATAATATAATTAGAAAATATCAGTTTGCAACATCAAGTACCATAACATACTGTTTTAACGTCTAAAAATGAAAGGAAGTGAATGAGACTGGAAGTGTCGAGCCAAAGAGATTCAAATGGCCGTGCCTGATGGTACATGAAGAATAAGGTCAAAAAGGGACATTTGCCTTCTGTTAGCCCTACAACTTGAAGTTGTCTGGACTGGTTTATAGATATAGCTGAAGTCAAAATTATTAGCTCCCCGTAAATTATTAGCCCCTCAATATATTTTTTCGCCAATTTCTAACAAAAATAATGGACTCTATTTCTAATGATCTAGGAGCAAAGTCTAAAGAGCAGGGCACAAAGGCGTGTCCCAACCCACTTTTGCTATTTTAAGGATGGAAAATTATGCTCTGCGCCGCAGCGCATGGTCTAACAGGGTTGAGCTTATTCTCTTAATGAGTTATGGGTGTGTTTTGAGAATCAACCAAAGTCGCATCTCCCATTCCCTTTAAGAGTCAGTTGCACCTATGGTGCATTTGCTATTTACATGGTGGACTTTGTAAGTGGAAAAACTGAATGCTTCACTAGCGAGAAAACAGTTAAACAGATCATCTGCAGCACGAGGATAAAGAATAAGCCTGCTCCAATCGGCCTGTACTTTTACTTTCTCTCTTTTGTGGATACGAAAACGGTGTTTCAGCCTATGCACAGACATCCATTAGTCTACGTAAGTATTTTGTTTGTTAAGCGCAAAGATTTGTTGTAAAACTATTTCTAAATTCAGTTTTAATTTCCAGCAAAGGAATACATGAACAATATTAACCAAGTGTGGTCAAAAAATTTAGTTATATCCAAACAGACATGTAATGCCCCATATGATCCAAAACCTGACAAGTGGACAAATCTAAGCTTGCTTTTGATATAAAATATAAATATGCACATAATAAATAATACTGCTAATAATAATAGCATAGCAAGCAAGTTGTCATGAATAAAGTAAAAAAAGCACCTCGAGATGAAGAAGGCATGGAGGTATTGTTTTTATATTTATGTAGAAAGTAACATCTTTTGAAATATTTTAATCCTTTAATTCTTTTTTTATATGTAAAGATATTTCTGTCTTGCTGTGCATCCAGCGTGTTTTAAGCAATGTGTAAGTGAGGCGCACAACTAACATGCTCTGCGCTGGACATTGGACCTGCTTTCAGCTGGTCTATTGCTTCCTCAATTAGTTCTAGTCTATTAGTTCCTCAAAATAGCTACGCGCCAAAGAGATTCAAATGGCCGTGCCTGATGGTACATGAAGAATAAGGTCAAAAAGGGACATTTGCCTTCTGTAAGACCTACAACTTGTAGTTGTAGCTATGCGCCAACAATGCGCCTTAACACAGCTCTTTTATAGACCGAAACACCTATGAGTCCACAAAGTGGCACGAATAGATTGGCTATTTAAACAACGTGGCCGAAAATGGGAGAATAAAGGTTGCGTTGGTCTGAAAATAGCAACACGGGACGAACACGTCTTGCGCCTTATTGTGTCGGGTGTATGATAGGGCCCAATATTTTTCAACACATTTCTAACAATAATAGTTCTATTAAATAATTTATATAACTAATAATTAATTTATTTCATCTTTGATGGTATGGTGCATAAAATTTTACTAGATATATTTAAAAAAATAGTATTCAGCTTGAAGTGACATTTAAAGGCTTAACTGGGTTAATTAGGTTAACTAGGCAAGTTATTGTATTTAGGCAATCGTTGTATAAGAGTGGATTTTACTGTAGACAATTGACCTTAGTAGTTTTTAATCAGCAACACAGTGGCGCAGTAGGTAGTGTTGTTGCCTCACAGCAAGAAGGTCGCTGGTTCGAGCCTCGGCTTGGTCAGTTGGCGTTTCTGTGTGGAGTTTGCATGTTCTCCCTGCGTTTGTGTGGGTTTCCTCCGGGTGCTCCGGTTTCTCCCACAGTCCAAAAACATGCTGTAAAGGTGAATTGGGTAGGCTAAATTGTCTGTAGAGTATAAGTGTGTCTGGATGTTTCCCAAGGATGGGTTGCGGCTGGAATTCCATCCGCTGCGTAAAAACGTGCTGGATTAGTTGGCAGTTGATTCCACTGTGACCGTGAATTATTAAAGGGACTAAGCCGAAAAGAAAATGAATGAATGAATGTTTTTAATCTAGCCGAAATTGATCAAATAAGACTTTCTCCAGAGGGTAAAATAATATAGAAAATACTGTGAAAAAAATTCCTTGCTCTGTTAAACACCATTTGGAAAATATTTGAAAAAGAAAAATGATTCACTGGAGGGCGAATAATTTTGACTTAAACTGTATATGGGAATAATAATTTAGACACAATTAAGTGCGAATGGAATTGAGGTAATGAGTGCAGCAGCACTGGATCGGTTCACACAGCGTTAGTCACTCACTTCTTCAACCAAATCTGCAGAGATAAGAAAACAAGAAAATATGTTATACAAATGCAAAGCAGAAAGATTTTCATTATGAAACTGTTTTTAACAATGTACACTCTAGCTGAGCAATATGTAAAAAGTCTTATACCATGATATACAGTCATGTAAAAGTTGTCTTTGCATGTTTTTCATATGTTTGCATGACTGGCCTAGTCAATGTCCTGAACTGAATCCAATTGAGATGCTGTAGAACAGGGGTCACCAAACTTGTTCCTGGAGGGCCGGTGTCCTGCAGATTTTAGCTCCAACCCTAATCAAACACACTTGAACACCTGAAACATCCAAGCTGGTGTGTTGAGGCAAGTTAGAGCTAAACCCTGCAGGAGCACTGGCCTTCTAGGACCGAGATTGGTGTAGAACATAGGTCTCAAACTGGATTCTTGGAGGGCCTCAGCTCTGCACAGTTTTGGTCCAATCCTAATCGAACAGCTGATCCAACTTATCAAGATGTTCAAGGCTACTAGAGACTATTAAGCAGGTGTGAGTGATGGTTAAAGCTAAACAGTGCAGAGCACACAGAGCTATGCATTGCTGTAGAATGACCTTAAAAAGGCAGTTTATGCTCGGAAACCTTCCAATGTGGCTGAATTACAAGCATTCTGCAAGGATGAGTGGGCCAAAATTCCTCCACATCGCTTTATCAGACTTTGAAATTATCGAAAATGCTTATTTGCAGTTGTGGCCCAAGCAGTTATTAGGTTTAGGGGGCAATCACTTTTTTAAACAGGCCTATATACTTTTGGGTTTTGTTTTCCATCAATAACAAAATCCTTGCATGATGTGTTTACTTGTGTTATCTTTGACATTAAAAGTGTGTGAAACATGCAAAAAAAAAAAAAAAAAGAACTCAGAAAGGGGCAAAACTTTTTCGCACCACTGTTCATGATCTCATATGTATACAGTACATATTGACCAGATGTAAAGGACAGTTCCTTTTTTACAATTCAAAGTATATACTTGGAAATGTACTCATTCCTATGTGATCCTAAATTTTTCACTTTTTGTAGAACTTCAGGGAAAATGTTTGATCAAAAAGTTGAAAAATAAACCTTTACAAAATATAAAACAAATGATTACACGTCCAACATAAAAAATATTGCTAAATAAAATGCAAGATGTAAACATTGTGCTTTCAGGATTGCAACTTTCTCATGCTGCTGTTATTCATGTTTCTGTCTGCATTACTGTAATGGCATGTAATATCATGCTCATATAATTTATAAAAAAGTATTACTTTAAGCAATGTATTTTGTGACTCCACAAAGTAAATAAAAGCGCATAATATGAAATGACACACCTTTTGATTTGTCCATATATATATAGCCCCCTGATAATTATTTTATATCTGATAATGTTTTTTTTCTTTTGGAGAAAGTCTTCTTTGTTTTATTTCAACTAGAAAAAAGCAGTTTTAAATTTTTTAAAACCCTTTTAAGCTCAAAATTATTAGCCCCTTTAAGCAATTTTTTTCACTAGTCTACAGAACAAACCATCATTATACAATAACTTGCCTAATTACCCTAACCTACCTAGGTAACCTAACAAACCTAGTTAAGCCTTTAAATGTGACTTTAGGCTGTATAGAAGTGTCTTGAAATATATCTAGTAGATTATTATTAGCTGTCATCATGGCAAAGATAAAATAGATCAGTTATTATAAATGAGTTATTAAAACTATTATATTTAGAAATGTGTTGAAAAAATTTTCACTCCGTTAAACAGAAATTGGAAATAAACATAAACTGGGGAGCAAATAATGGCTAATAATTCTGACTTCAACTATATATATATATATATATATATATATATATATATATATATATATATATATATATATATATATATATATATATATATATATATATATATATATATATATATATATATATATATATATATATATATATATATATATATATATATATATATATATATAAATAGCACAGCCCTGGTAAACATAATGATTTGATTTTGCTATCTATTTTGATGGACATGTTAACACATACTGTTGTCTATAAGTTACACTGCAATTTATTTTGATAAAAGTATTAGTAGACCATAAGGTTATGGTTAGAGCATTGTTGACATGCACTTGCAAAAGGTTCTTATAGTCATGAGAATGTTGATAGGTGGAGCAGTGTCAGTAGATAAATCTGCTGCTAATACTCCAATGACTGTTTGATAAATTACAAAAAATGCATAATTTTTGCACTATACTGCATCTCATTAAAGTTTTTTCTGATGAATTCTACATATTTCTACACATTCTATATATCAGAGAGTTACAATATCGGTACAAGTTTTTAATCAATCCTTATCAACTTAATAATATAATTAACTTTTTTCTTCATTCATTTTCCTTCAGCTTAATCCCTTTATTCATCAGGGGTCTCCACAGTGCAATAAATCGCCAACTTATCCAGAATATGTTTTACGCAGTGGATGCCCTTCAAGCCACAACCCAGTACTAGGAAGAACTTATACGGCCAATTTAGCTTATTTAGTTCACCCATAGCATATATCTTTGGACTGTGGGACAAAACCCACACGAACATGGGGAAAACATGCAAACTCCACACAGAAATGGCCATTGACCAAGCCAGTCAATGAGAAAATATTACATTAGAGTGCATTATATTTAGTATTACATTTATTGCATATTAATTTTTCACACAATTAAGCAAAAGTTAAATATATTTTCCTGACTTATAGTGTATGAAAATTTGTTGTTCACAATGTTTCATAAATTCTTAAATTATGAATTTTTGTAATTGTTTAATGTAAAATGTATGTTGTGAATTTGAATGCTACAGCTGTTACTAATGTACATTTTTATTTAGTATTTAATGTGATTTTATTCATTGAAATAATGTTTTTTAAATATATATTTTCTAGATAAAAATATTGTGTAACTAATATAAACACTTTATTACTAATTTAAGCTCAATGAAACTGTTGACAGAAAAAAGTACTGATTAGCCAAATTAAAGGAAGCTATCATATAAAAATATTACAAATAACATTATTTCATGTTTCTGTTCAGAGGTGAAATTCCTTACACATCCACACCCTCACAGTATGATATGAAATGGAAACTCAAAGAGAACCAAAGGATACCAGGAAAATGAATTATTCAGAAAGAAAATGAATTATACTCAGAGAAATACAATTAAACTGGACAGTGCTGTAAAAGCTATTGTGTATTATATATGCTAAGACATATACTAGTAGTGTCCATGTAAAACAAAAACACTTAGCATTTTTTCACTATGTATGTGAATTACGTTCTTGTCTCTTTGTGCAGTGTGTAACACTGTTGTGCAAAAAATAAATCAGATTTAAAGGTATAGTTCAACCAAAAATAAAACAAATACTCACAATTTGTTCACCCTTAAGTGGTTCCAAACTTTTATGAGTTTCTTTCTTCTGTTGAACACAAAAGAAGATCATTTGAAGAAAGCTGAACACCTGTAACCATTGACTTACATAGTAGGACAAACAAATGCAATGGAAGTCAATGATTACAGGTTTCTAATGTTTTTCAAAATAACTTTTTTTTGTGTTTAACAGAATAAAGAAACTCATAAAGGTTTGAAACTAGTGTGAGCAGGGGCGGATTTAGTGATTTTGGGTCCCTAAACAATTCCAGCCATGGGGTTCAGGTTCTGAAATGCACCCTTTCTACTTTTTTTTTAATTTTAATTTATATTGCTGTTTTTTATATCACTCAATCTTCTTTTCTTAATTTTAATTTAATGTAATTTGTGCATTTTTAAAGATTAGATTACTACTAAAAAGATAAATACATATTTTTTTTATATAAATTGACTGCTCCATGATGGATTTTTTATTATTTAATATTATTATTATTATTATTACATAACATTACATTATTATAATAATATTATACTTGATTGTATATGAAATAATAGTTAATTCATTAAAATTTAATTTGTTTAACTCTCACCATACAAAATATTATAGAAAACGATGTTATATAAAGTTTATACTTCTAGATCAGGGGTCACCAATCTTGCTCCTGGAGGTCCGGTGCCCTGCAGGGTTTAGCTCCATCTTGCCTCAACACACCTGCCTGGGTGTTTCACGTATACCTAGTAAGACCTTGATTAGCTTGTCCAGGTGTATTTGATTAGGGTTGTAGCTAAAATCTGCAGGACACCGGACCTCCAGGAACAAGTTTAATGATCCCTCTTCTAGATATTTATTGGGGGCCCCCAGATTTCCTGGGGTCCTAAGCAGCCGCTTTCCTTGCTTATTGTTTAAATCCGCCCCTGAGTGTGAGTAAATGATGACATCATTACTATATCATGTCATATCATATCATATCTTAACTCACTTTGTGGAGGATCCACATCCATTGACCGCAGTGAGTTGCAGGATCCATTCTGTTTTGGTCTAGCCCCAAGTTCCCTGTTCTCCTTCACAGAATTGGAATTTAGATTTAGACTTTGAAGTTGATTTTGTGTTTTTATTTCGTCTTGCTTGAGGATGAAGCAGCCGCCCTCTTCAGCTACAATCTTCTCAACCTTCTCCATCAGCTGAGGCAGCTGTGGGTGCTCACCAAAAATATAGTTATTGATCACATGATATCTCTTCTTACATTTGTCCAGCACCCACTGAAGGTCACGACCTTCTCTTCGTATATGCCTTTCTATAGACCTGTCCTTCAAAATCTCAGCCCAGGTGAACACCACCAAGGTGTGCTTCCACACGTCCTCACCAAACAAAGCCAAGTTCTCTTCTATACGAGCGCGGTCCGTTTCGGTGAACATGCCCACTGGTATGACCAGCAGGAATGCGTGGGGTCCAGGTTGCAACATGCTAACGCTTCGTACCATCTCCTGCTGATAGTCTGCTGGTGTGGTCTGGGCTGAGAACCAGCCAGGAGTGTCTACTACCGTTACTTGGCGCAAATCGATCTCGGTTTCACGTTTCACACAGAATTCAGCTGCTCGTTCCAGACGAAACTCTTCACGGCCCAGAATAGTATTGCCAGTCAGGCTTTTACCTGGCCATCTCCAGCCAAGCAGGATCAGACGGAGCTCTGGGAGACGGTTAGCCTCACGGGTGGCTGCTGCCAATTGTTTATCTTCCTCAGGGTCAAGTCGGTCATCAGCTGTAAGGGTCCAAGACATTATTATTTTTGGGGGTCTAACAATAATCTGGCAATTGATGCATTGGTAAAAGAAAGATATGTAATGCTTAATGATATGGCATATGAACATGTATATATTATGCTGTTACATTACTTTTAATTGTTACTTAGTATTTTATGTGTTGTGACATAGCTATAACAGTTTCAATTTATTCACTTATTTGTTGAATTCCAATATATTCCATTAATATTTCTACATATATTATTATAACGTATTGATTTGATGTGTTAATACCATTGCATAACTGTTTGTGGTATTTTTATGGAATCTTATGTTTTGATAATACATATCTGCCAAACAAAAAACAAACAAAAATCTTTTGGATAACTGTGCTGGTAACGTTACATACACTTATACCTATGGTGTTAAATAATATATTGAAAGAATACAATGCCTTTATTCCATTATGGAGACATATAGGTCAAGCAAAACATTGTCAGTGATAATATTTTCCCAATGATGTAAAGTCTAAAAGCACAGAGTGTCTTAATCTGAAATTTGGTCTTATGACATCCATTTCCTCCTACTCCTTTCTAGAATAGATGAACAATCCGATTTCCCCCGATTTGTATTTACCTAAATTCCCAAGCAAAATTATTAATAAACAGTAGCTTGTGTTTTATTCAGTAAAAAACTTTATCATTAATAAACCTATTTAAAAACTATAAATACTTTTATATTTGTACACAATAAGGTTTTCACTATAACAACTAGAACACTATAAACGAGGATGCATTGTTTTACATCAGCGACTGTAAATATTCTCGTCATATGTTGCTTAATAATTAATAACTCTTGGATGTGTGTTTTTGATAATATGAGAGGATCTGTTGTTACTTAAGCTCACCTGTGAACGTCATACCTGTCTGAATAAGCTACGGAAACATTGAGACGTGTCACAATCACCCGACGTACTGTACACTAGCCGGCTAAAGTAATGCGCACAAAGCCAAACTTAAGTACAACTGCTGCGTTATAAAACATGAATCAACTGTTTATTAACAGTATACGTATATAAACAACTTACCGGCTGTATTTGGTGATCTATTTGAACTCATGACGATTCCGTGTTTGTAACTTAAAACGCGTGTCGCATAGTAATCCGGGAGAGGAAAAAAAACACGATTTCCTGCTTGCTTCGGCAGCAAAGGCGGGCGGGAGATGTCTTGATTCGAGAACTATTCTTTTGAGTCGGATCTTTTTACTGAATCTTTTGAGCCGGTCAGTGAGGTTCTCGAAAAAACGGTCTGACTGAGACGTTGCAGTTAACTTTAAATATCACAGTAAGCCTTTATACTTATTGCTTATTGTAATATATTTATAAGTACATACTTTCAATAAAAACAAATTGCTATAATAGGTTTTAAATATTCACTTTTCTTTGTAATTTTAGGATATTGACTGTTGATTAACTGATTAATGTACTTAAGTACCACTACATAAACATTATTCATAATAAAGACATTATAAACAATGATTTGGACAACGTAGTTGAACTTTTAGGCGACCATTTGATGACGTAATTACTGGATGAACAAATGATTCAAAAGAACCGAGTCTGAGTCATTGGGGGTGGCTCGTGAGCTCACAACATTATTATGCCAAGGTGAACTGGAGGGTTTAGCTAAACTGAGCTGTATATGTCCAAACCATAATTAAGACACACACAATATACATTTAAAAAGCCACTTTTTAAGTTTAAGCAAAAATCCCAAACTCAAAAAAAGCAATATGTTGAATATATGCTGAATATCTTTGTACTTTTGATACAATACAAGTATTAAGATAAAGTAATTTGAAAAATCAAAATGCATTGTACTCAAAAGCCAAAACCCATCTAGAAAGCAAAAGTCACTAGTCTCACAAAATCATGTAGCAAACACTGAAGTACTGTAATAGCAAATGTGTCAAAACATAAACGTAAAACCACTTTTTTCACATTTCATGAGTTTAATTTTCACCCAAACCCCAGTATTCTACATTTACATTTAATTAAAAAAAAATTAAATTTTAATATCCTTCACATAAAACAATACTATTTACACAAAGCAAGGTAATCCTTAATCTTCAAGACCACCACAAAGTAATTATTTTGTATACAAATGTTTCCCTTCACAAATGTTTCTATTTTTTCTTTCAAAAACATCTTACTATTTAACAAATTACTGGCAGGATAAACAGCAGAGCTACGAGTGCAAGTAAGCTTCAGGTAAGATTGAGTTTGTGTGTACGGTTGTTTATGATGCCCAGGAAGCCAACCTCTTCATATCATGATCATCCTCCACTCTCTTCTTTGAGGCTAGAAGAGTAAAATAACAGACATTTAGTTAAAGCGCAGAGTGAATAATAAAATATGAACTCATTGTGTATAGATTGAATGTGTAGGTGTATTTGCATACTTACTTGCCCTGTGGCTTGGTCTTGTGCTGGGCAGTTTGTGGGTTGGTGCGCTTGGTAATCTGCCCATGCTCTTCATACTTTCTTCCAAGTCCTCCTGTTCCAACTCGGCCAGTTCTGCCAACAACTCATCCTGATAGATAGAAAGGTAGGTAGAAATATAGGTAGGTGGGGGTGGGTAGGTAGAAATGTGAGTGGGTGGGTGTGTGTGTGTGTATATGTGGATGAATAGATAGATAGATAGATAGATAGATAGATAGATAGATAGATAGATAGATAGATAGATAGATAGATAGATAGATAGATAGATAGATAGATAGATAGATAGATAGATAGATAGATAGATAGATAGATAGATAGATAGATAGAAAGATGGATGGATGGATGGATGGATGGAAATACATCAGTAAAAATAAACAAAAAAGATTATGTTTAAGATAATTCAAAATTTTAAATATTAATGACTAAAATGATTAATAAAGCAGAAATAAATTCATAAAAAGCTTTAAATCATTTGAGTGTGAGTAAACAGTGAGAAAAATTTCATTTGTGGTGAACTATCACTTTAAAAAGTAAAAAACTAATTTCACTACCAACTAAAACGTGCAATTAATTCCTTTAATTCATAGTATTCACCTCATCAAACTGGTCACCGAAAGGTTGTGAGATGGCATCACTGATCTCCTGAGCTACTTCCTGTTGTTCGGTAATGTCCTGCATGAGGGAGTCAATCTTATCCAAATCTCTGTAAATGATAGAGGCAGAATGAATGACAACTGTTTGCAACTGTAGCAATTAGATGACTGTTTTAAACAGCCCTCCTTTCAGCATTTGTAAGATTTCCCACAGCTGAGCTGGTCAACTGCAAAGAATATCGGAGAGACAACATCATGACAGTATCCTATGATTCAGACAGTTTTAAATCAGTCTGACAGTGTTAAAACCATCGAAGCTTACCATAAATGAACTTTGAAAATTTTCCATTACAATTATCCATACATCCCATGACCTCTACAATTCAATCCACAAAATACTTCACAGTCACTGTATTTTTATTCTGCATCAAAAATAACTTGTAAGGTTAATTTGTGGAGTAATAATAATAATAATAACATTCTATTTTGATCCATATTGAACGCAATCACAGAGACTTAAGCACTTTGTCAGAAATGCAATGTGTTTGGTCACGAATAATTCAAGGGTTACTTCAACTAATAGTAAAACATCTGTTAGTATTTATTCACCCTTATGTCATTTCAATTCTCTGAGACCTTTGGTCATGTTCAGAACACAAATTAAGATGTTTTAGAGCAAATGCAAGGCCGGGGCCCAAGTCCTGCCTGCTGAATTTTATTTGGCCCCGTAAGAGCATATGAATCACACAAAATCTGAATTTAAGTATTCATGTGATTAGTACTTACTGGCTGGCAAAAAAATGTGAATTACACAACGCATTTGCAATGAATGTGCAAAATTATCTTCAATCGAGCGTTCAAGATTTTCAACTGGAGTCAGTACATTGATGTATATCAATGCATGTTTGTTTTGCATATAATTTTGAGCATGGTTGCTTTTCCATGGTTTTGCTTTTCTCAAATGTAACCGAATTTTGAAGAGACAATGACTTGTGTCTCTTGATGGAGAAAAGTGGATTTCTTAACCTAAAGTTAAAATAACCCAGGGATGTTATATTTATTTACAGTTTACGGTCTTATTTGTTTTATTTCAGCTAGAATAAAAGCAGTTTAAAATTTTTAAAAAACATTTTAAGGCCAAAATTATTAGCCCCTAAAATACATTGCTTTAAAATGGAAAACAGACATTGATGTACCGATTGGACTGTAGATCTCAGAAGTTTGCAACTGCATACCCCTAGAGAAGATCACATATTCTTTGAGAGGAAGTATAAAGGAAGGATAAAGTATTTAATCAGATTTGGAATCCATTTTTTAATTATATTAATTAAATTAAAACAGTTTTTTTCCACTGGTTTAAACTGTATCTCCTCCCTTTTTATTTATTTTTATTTTAATTTTTTATTGAGTATGATTGCTGCTTTGTTTTGATGTTCTGTATTGTTAATTCTTGAAAAAGCTAAATAAAAACATATAATCAAAAAAAAAAATGATTAGCCCCTTTAGGCTACATTTTTTGATAGTCTACAGAACAAACCATTGTTATACAATAACTTGCCTAATTACTCTAACCTCTTTAGTTAATCTAATTAATCTAGTTAAGCCATTAAATGTCACTAAGCTGTCTAGAAGTGTCTTGAAAAATATGCAGTCAAATATTATTTACTGTCATCATGGCAAAGATAAAATAAATCAGTTATTAATGAGTTATTAAAACTATTATGTTTAGAAAAAAATCCCTGTTAAACAGAAATTGGGGGGAAAATAAACATGGGGGCAAATAATTTAGGGGGTTTAATAATTCTGATTGCAACTGTACACATATAAAATCCATGTATTATTTTGTTACTGTTATAATGTAATGAAGAGACAATAATTTAACAATATGTAAAGGAGTAGTAAAATTTATAAAGTCTGACTTGCCCTTTGAGGGCAAACATTAATGCTGAAGTGGCTGATGTGCATATTATGACTTTGTTTGCCAATGTTGTTCCTTCCTCGTCAGGGTTCGCGTTTACTATGGGCAGTATGACGTATTGCCAATAGAGTCAGCAGTGGGACACACAAGCATTTTACTGCCCATAGTAAACATGCACCGGGACCTGACAGGGCTGAAGAGAGGACTTTGGTGAACAAAGCATATACAGTTGAAGTCAGAATTATTAGCCCCCCTGTTTATTTTTTCCCCAATTTCTGTTTACCGGAGAGAAGATTTTTTTTTTTCAACACATTTTTAAACATAATAGCATTAATAACTCATTTCTATTAACTGATTTGTTTTATCTTTGCTATGATGACAGTAAACAATATTTTACTAGATATTTTTCATGACACTTCTATACAGCCTAAAGTGACATCTAAAGGCTTAACTAGGTTAAATAGGTTAACTAGGCAGGTTAGGGTAATTAGTCAAGTTATTGTACAACGATGGTTTGTTCTGTAGACTATCGAAAAAAATAGCTCAAAGGGGATAATAGTTTTGACCTTAAAAGGGTTTTAAAAAAATTAAAAACTGCTTTTATTTTAGTCGGAATTAACCAAAAATAAAAAATGGGGGCTAATAATTCAGGGGCGCTAATAATTCTGACTTCAACTATATATATTTGTTTCAGTTTTAGTTCTCGTAATTGAGTTAACATAACATGTTCAGTGTCAACTCTTAACAAAGCTTAATGTTTGCACAGATTACATTAACCCATGTGCAAAACTCTTAGAACATGAACAGAAACTCAACCCTAAATCACACAAATGCAACTTTTACAAATAGATGTAAAAAATTAATTAATTAACGAAGAATAAAGACAAACGGCATATTAAAGTTCACATATGTAGTAAAACATGCCTCGTTTACATTTTTTGAAGAAACTGAAGAAAAATTAGAACAAGTTTTATGTTTATATAGAAAAGATGTTACTGTATATAATCTTATGCTTGGCTGATGTGTTTGGTTGTAAAAGTGCATCTACAGGTCCTTCTATAAACAGTCACAGCAGATTAAGATTGTGCGCCACAGAATGAGCACTTTAATAAATCTGAAAATATGTATTATTTATTGCTTATTATTATTTTCTATTATTAGTTTATTTATTGCGAATTTTTTGTTTGGTTTCAGTTAACAAAAAAAAAAAAAAAAATTTTTTTTAGAATTTAATTTTTCGTTTATGTAAATAAATTTGGTTCATGGATGCATGACCCTTCAATTCATTAGTAAATTTTAATATGTAGAGAAAACAAGTAATCCTGCATACTACAAATACTTGCTGAATGATTTATTAAATTAAATGTATTTAATAAATTGTTCAGCACGTATCAATAATGTGCGGGATTACTTGTTTATTTCACACTTTGACATACTGATTTTTTTTCTACACACCAATCTTGGCTTCAGGAGTGTTGATTTGGTGTTGATTAAATTTCAGTGTGTATAAAGCTTCTGTAAGCAACAGTTATTTATCTGTTTGTGTTCATAGTCATTACACAAAATAACAATAGCATAAAGAACAGCAATTACAATACGCACATTTTCTCATGAACGCCTTTGATAGCTTTAGCGGCGTATCCCATGTTCTTCAGGACTTCTGTGTTTGTGGTGGCATTCTCAAGGGACTCTCGCTGGAACTCAATAGTTGACAGTGTCCCATCAATCTGGGTCAGTTGCTGCTCAAAACGTTTCTTCCTCTTAAGAGCTTGAAGTGCGGCTGAGGATAAAAAAAAGTTACTGTTTATTATCATTTCAATAAGATATTAATAAAACATACATTTCAAACATTATATGTATATCATTTACTATTGTTAATCATATTAAACACTTGCATGTTATGTAGATTTTTAAATATGTGCCTATGTTTAGGGAATATAAACTATATATTTAACGATATAAGAAATAGAGCAAATGACAACATGAAACAAAGTTGTCGTTGCATGTTAACAAGATAACAAGAAATTATGTGGAAAGAAAGAATAGTTTATATGTAAAACAACTTGCTTTCGTAAATTTTGAACACACACACACACACACACACACACACACACACACACACACACACACACACACACACACACACACACACACACACACACACACACACAAAATAAACGAAGTACCACATAAAAAAACAACAGAAGTCCAAAAAAAGCTATAAGAAGTTCATGCATCTGGGAGTAAACCACATGCTCATGTAAACGCACAAAGAGACAACTGTAAATGAGGAGTGTCCAGATGAACTGCATGTTTCAGGTGCAACAGGGCGTCACTCTGCATAAACAAAAGTCATGTTTCACTGACATGTTTCACTTGGGTGTTGTTATACTTTCACGATGTAAATGATGATGCTTTCAAATGCATATTATGTAACAAAGATTTAGTCGATTATAGTAAGGGTAAATAAAAGGTGTTGGAGATTTTGTTTTACTATTCCTTTATCCAACGGTTTGTATGATATCCCTCATAAAACACGAACCACATAAATGTAAAGAGTTATTTAAGACGTACACAGCTATTTATGCTATTTACTCTGAAAACAAACTTTATTACAACCTTATAAAAGTTTTGTAAGGGCTATGCATAATGTGTCAGTGAAGAACAGGATTTAGAAATATGAATAAGATTTTTTTGTAATTTTATAAATATAAATATATAAGCACTGTATTTAAAAAAAAACTTTAATTAAAGAAAGCTTCTCTTTATCAGGATGTTTAAAGTATTAACAGGATGTTTAAATTGATCAACTTTAAATGCGAAGATGTCATTGGCAGCCTACCTCTTTTGTTTTTGGTGCCATTCTTCTTGGCGATCACGATTTCCTGCTCGATTCTGCTCTCCAGGTATTCCTGTTTTTTAGTTAACATCGCCTCCGTCTCTCTCAGTCTGTTGATGGCCTCCTGCGGCGATGGACCGGACCGAGACCGGTGCTTAGATTTAGAACTGGATCCAGAGCTAGAACTGGACCTGGAGCTGGATGAGCTTGAAGAGCTCACCTTAAACATTTTAGAAATTTTACTCATTTTTAAGATAGGCTTGAAATTACAGATCAGGAACCGACTTGTTTAAAATATAAAGCTAGGATCCCAAGAGAACGTGGCAATTCTTGACAGTTTGCTTTTCAGATTCGACTCAATTCAAAACAACATAACCCAACCTCTTCCTGAAATTCAACACCTGTGCGCACTGCTCACGTAAATTGCACCACATTAATGTTGCTGAAGACACGCCTTTTCAGAATGGAGCCGACGTCAAACAATGGGCGGGGTAATAGTGCCGAAAGCTTTCTCTTATTGGTCAGATACGACAGGTAAAATACTTTTACAATGATAGCTCATGTTCTTTTTGCAAACAAGCAAAGGAGACACATCTATTTTTAGATGTGTCCAATTTCCAAGCAATTTTGGTTACACCTTATTAATTAACATATTAATTAACATAGTTAATACAAATTCTCATAATATTTCATTTTTAATTACAATAATAATAATAAAATCATGGAACAGACTACAATTTCGTTTACTATTTTAAATGGTAAATATTCACAAACAAAATCCCTCCTATCCTCTTTTTTAGAATCTTAAACTATCTTCTTTTGATAAAGAATGATATAAAAAAAAAACATTGTTAAATATTGAACAGAGATATTCAAAGAATCATGCTTTCCTTATATGTTTTGTTGGAATATCATAGTAACATCATTTTCTTTTATTATTTTATTAAAAATATATATATTTTATTGTTATATTGTGTGTATTTATTTATTTTAATTAGTTTTTCTTTTGTAATATTTTAATTGTATGTGTGTGACTCTGTGGATGAGGGTTTATTTATTTATTTATTGAAAGTAATCACTTATTGTTTTATTAAGAGATGTAGGTTTATTTCTTGCAGAATACACAGCAGATTCTGCTGATCTAATGCTGTAACTCCGTTATTTTACGTTTTTTTTTTTCCCGACAGCTGGGAAATTTTGCTTAAAAAATTTAACGTAAAATAACAGGCGTTACATTACAGAAATTACCTTGAATTTAAATTTTCGGTAAAATTCTGTTATTTTATGTTGTTTTTCTTCCGGTAGCTGGGGTACTGGAATAAAAAAAAAACTAAAATAACAGACGTTAAATTACAGAAATTTACCGAAAATTTAAAATAATTTTTTTTTACAATGTATAACATCTCTGCTGTTATTGGTTTGTTATTTTCAAGTTCCCGTCAAGCTCCTCTAATTTTAAATGCAAATTTAACAGCTTGTTTCTTATTTTTTAGGAAATCTTTAGAAAAACCTCCCTGTATATGATGCATTCACATTGTCAATGTAATCTCCCCTAATTTAAATGTTAAATATGTGGGTAAGAACTTTCACACATTTCGTATAGCAAAAAATAAATTAATTAACAAACTTTATGTACCCAGGCCCTGAAGTGAACCTTTAAAGTGGAAGTGGTGGATCCAGAGTTCATCTACCTTCTAATGGTACACTTTTTCTTTTTCATTTATCATTATCTTTTCTCAACTATTATCCAGAAAATAATCTAAGCTGTCCTTATGGTTTTATGATTATCTTTATCACACAAGTCCAATTCCAAAAAACCTGGGATGTTGCAGAGAAATCAAAAAATTGTATTATGTTAATTCTTGTATTCAATCAACAAATATAGAAAGAAAATATTTTCAGCATTTTACTGATCATCTTAACTGTGTTTGATTTTTTTTTTATTTTGATGACTGCAATACAAAGAACAACTAAGTCTGGTTTCTCTCAAGGTATTTTCCTTCACCTCCGTCAGTTAGTGAAGTTTGTTCCTTGCCACTGTTGCCACTAGCTTGCTTAGTTTGGGACTTGTAGAGCTGCAAATCGATGGACTTCAATTTCAATTTACTACAACTTCTAAGCTGCTTTGACACAATCTACATTGTAAAAGAGGTATAGAAATAAACAAAGACGAAGATAAAAGTTGGGACAGAAGCAAGTCACATATACTGTAAAAAATATGTTGCTTACATACATTTTTAAGTTGAATGCATTTAACTTTTCAAGTCCTTTTAACTTGTATCAACTTAAAACATTAAGTTAAAATTAAAATTTAAAAAAGCTCGAACCTGATTAAATTTCCAAATTACGTTAAAGTAACATAATAACTCTTCTATTTTGTTATTTTTTACAGTGTATCTAAATACAAACGCTTGGAAGCAGTCTGCAATAGGTAAACAATTGAAGATAATTTTAAAGAGAATAAAATAATAATGATTTTATTGCATTTGCAAATTTGTAAAATTTTATTTATATTTCCTATTTCTCCCTGTAACTCACATACTCATGCTATTTAAATATTATCTCCTCTTTGTCTTTGTCTTCAAATTATGCAAAATATGTTGTATTTTCTTCATATTGATATTTGACCTTACAGTTATCCTACTTAACTGACAGTTCATGGTACAAAATGTTCTTTCCCTACGTTGATATTTGCATGAGTTATTGTTTTCTTCAGTTAGATGCGTGCTGAAACCACAAACCTTTCAACATATATTGTATCTTGAGGGTCATGGTGAACTAACTTCATCTTTATCCCAGCAAAAGATAGAACAAATGATCTGGTATAGAGTAGGCCTATAGTCTACCTAATGGATATCTGTTGCTGACACATAAAGATGGAAGTGCTCGATTACCATATAATTTTCAACATTTTCTAGGTACTCACAATCTTTCTCTTGCTACTTGACTTATATCTGCAAATGCATTGAAATTCTTCTCTGTAAGTATATTATGCTGACTTCTGGAGAAAGTCTTATTTGTTTTATTTCGGCTAGAATAAAAGCAGTAAAAAAAAAAAAAAAAACATTTTAAGGTCAAAATTATTAGTCCCTTAAAGCTATATATTTTTTCAGTTGTCTACAGAACAAACTATCGTTATACAATAACTTGCCTAATTACCCTAACCTAGTTAACTAATTAACCTAGTTGACCCTTTAAATGTCACTTTAAGCTGTATAGAAGTGTCTTGAAAAAAATCTAATAAATAATTTTTAATGTCATCATGACAAAGATAAAATAAATCAATTATTAGAAATGAGTTAAACTATTATGTATAGAAATGTGTTGAAAAAATCTTCTCTCCGTAAACAGAAATTGGGGGGAAAAATAAAGAGGGGGGCTAAAAATTCAGGAGGGCTTATAATTCTGACTTCAACTTAACAAAGGTTAAGTCTTTAAATTGCTTGGTATGCATATACCTTCAAAATAAATTGAACAATACAAAAAACTCTCACCATGGCAAAGACAAAAGAAACCAAGTTATTAGAAACTAATTATTAAAACTATCTTGTTTAAGAATGTTGAAATAAAATCTTCTCTTCATTAACCCTTGTGCACTGTTCAAATGTACTACCCTTTTGTTATGTTTGGGATAAAAACACACACTGAATTAACTGTAAAGTGCATTAAACAAATATTTTTTTCAATTTTTTCAATTTGTTTTTTTGCATAAATCTGTTAAACAACCTTAGTCCTGATCAAAATTGCTAAATTGTTTAGAACATTACAGGATTTTAACTCTTTAATTGCCAAGTTTACAAATGATGTCACTGATTTGGTGAAAAAACACACAAAATGACGTATTTTCAAGACAAAAAGTAATTGTGGACTGCTTTTTTAAACTTTTATCACAGTCTTGGACATGTGAATGATTAGTAACAGAATTCGCTTTGATGCATTTTAAAATTTCCATTTTATTTCCCCCTAATTTACTGTTGTTGCCCATTTTACTTCCATTATAACCACATTTGATGGTGCATAAATACAGTCTTTGTTTTTATTTACTCCATGTAGTTCTGAGAGCTAAGATGTATATTTTGATTTTCTCAGACACATCAAGGTAAGTGCATAAAGGTTACTCTCACGCACTCAGACACACATACACACATACACACATACACACGCTTTAATTTGCTTTTCAAGAGTTGACACTTAGCTGATGATCCATCAAAAGCTTGTTTGGCATGCTGTCCCGGGAGAGAGCCCCAAGCTCAAGGGATCCTCGAGCCCGGGGCTTCCCTTCCATTCGCAGAGCGAGAGGGGAGCTTGAGCTCATTGGATCTCAGAACTCCCCGGCTGCGGTAGCTAAGGGAACACGTGAGAAACAAGGCTAGACAAGTGTTTGATTGTTATGCATGATGTATATCTTTGCATAGTGGGAGGAGACCGGAGAACTAGGGGGAAAACCCCGGCGGACACCAGGAGAATATACAAACTCCTCCCAGAAACGCCTATTGGCCTGGCAGGACCAGGGCCGGCAGTGTTCTTGCTGTGGGGCTTACAGTGCTAACCACTGGGCCGCCGTGCTGCCCGATCAATGGTAAAGGAGGAGAATTGGGGAGGAAGGGGGGTTTCTTCCAAAGTAAGATAAAGTGGACTGAAAACTGTGGTTAATTATTGTAGCTTAGGGCTCATATGATTGCAAGATAATGATTAGCTAATATCTCGAAATTAGTTTATAAATAAACCTCGCTTAATGTTCATATAAAAACCAGAAACTATAAGCTTTTTTGCACAGGCCTATCTAAAGGGTTAATGGTGCCAACTGATGATTAACAGTAAAAATGACAAATTATACCTCTTTCCCACAGGTAAAACCAGCAACAATCAAGAATGCATGATTATGGTGTCATGGTTTTGTAATAAAAAATATGGTTATAATGGAAGTCAATGGGGCAAAAACAGCCACCAACAGCAAATTAGGGATGCATCAAAGACAATTTTGTTTCACATGTCCAAGATTTTGATAAAAGGTAAAAAAAATCCAGTCCACACTTACTTTTTATATTAAAAATACGCCATTTTGTGTATGTGAGTGTTTTTTTTTTTATAACAAAAGGGTAGTAAATTTGCCCAGAGTGTATCGTTGAGTTTTTAAAAAAAATTTATTTCAAAGCATTTTCTCAAAATATGTGTCAAAGATTTTCACCAAAAATCATTCTGCTAGCTGAAACACAGAAAATGTTATGGCTCAATTAAGACACAAAATCACATGAAAAGATCCCCAACAGTACATAAAGGTAACACTTGGCAAAATGTCACCAGAGGGCTAATCATTTTGACTTCAACTGTATGTTCATCAAAAATTGATTTTTACATTTAGCTGAGAGAGAGAGCAACAACATCCCTCCTCTCCTCTTGACATTATCATGTGCATGTGACCTCTCAACTCCAGTCATCTATCAGTGCTTCATTGAACTTGCATTTAATACATAGAGATGATACATAAGGAATGTAATTTAGTGCGAGAACAGTACAGTCTATGGTCTAAAAGTGGAATTTCTTAACCTAGAGCCTGATTTAAAAAGAGAGAAAAAAAAGGGAAGCTAGTTTTGCTTATCAGAGGTCTCAGGTCCACAGCCCCCATAGCACACAGCATTTTTGTCTGAATTTCTGAAGCTGCATAATTAATTTCCTCCCACTTTTTTCCCTTGTAGTAAACTGTATTTAATTATTAAGGTGCAATTTTGCAGTCAGCTAATGCGTGTTTCAAGGGTTTAGAGACAAACCCTTTCCTCCTTCCTCACTTGCAATGCATTATGCGAATGAATAATTAATTATTTAAATCAATACTCAGATTTACTATACTGTACATGATTACTGTACATTTACGCGTTATTCACAGAAAAGTCTTGGCATCTGCTCTTGGCGAGTTGGTGAAAGGTGTATAATTGTATCTAATGGTATATCTACTTAAAATGTTTTCTTGGGTCCGAAAAACATCAAAAATCATGAATTGAGTAATCCACTCACAATATTAAAAGCTTTTTATTTACTTCACCATGGCCATTCCCTATTTTAAGATGATGGATTATATACACAGCTAGTGTTTTTCAACCAATGATGTACTTCCGGTGAAAGCTTGACTATTTTCAATTTCATAAGATTTCTTTTAGAGCATTGATGTTGTAATGTAATTCAAATATAATTAGTTAAATAGTCTTAAGCATCCATTAGGTTGTTATTCAAACATTTAAACACAGGCGCTGTCATTAGCAGCAGGCTAGCTTAGAAATTCCACTGAAAATACTGGGTTAAAATTAATTTCCATATTTTAAAGACACGGCGTGGAAAAAAATCTTATTTAATGCAGTACTTTTTGTTTGGTCTGATAGCCACTTTATATTGTATCTCAGCCAGGCTGTGAAGATCGCTGTTTTTTTTCTTTTTTTTAAGAAATCAGATCATAAATGCAGCAATTTTGTATGGGATGACATTAACCAGAAGCCCTGGGGCTGGGACTAAAGGTTTGTGTGCCCCATTGCCCCAGTGTACCCCATTGGGGGTCACTTTCCATTGCTTTGTCACAAAAAAATTTAATAAAATGAAAAATAAATAAACAGATAAATAAAGGGCAGCAAGTTGGCACAGTGGGTAGCACAATCGCCTCACAGCAAGAATGTCGCTGGGTCATTTGGCGTTTATGTGTGGAGTTTGCATGTTCTCCCCATTTTTGCGTGGGTTTCCTTCAGGTGCTCTATAGGTGAATTGGGAAGCTAAATTATTGAAGCTAAATTATTCGTAGTGTATGAAAGTGAACGATTGTGTATGGATGTTTCCCAGTGTTGGGTTGCAGCTGGAAGGGCATCCGCTGTGTAAAACATATACTAGATAAACTGCCGGTTAATTCTGTGGTGGTGACCCTAGTTTAATAAAGGGACTAAGCCAAAAAGAAAATGAATTAATGAATAAATAAATAAAAAAATAAAATACTTGACTAATGTACTTTGGCGTGACTAGTGGTCAGAATGGATTATTGAGCAAATTTATTGATTTTGATTATATTCATTCAATCAATAAGTTTGATTTATATAACCATACACACTCTTAACGCTATAAAGTTTCCAAAGTATAATAAAGCATGTTGTTCTAAAGAAAAAATGTTATTGCAAAAATGTTTTGCGACTTTTATTTTGAATTTATGACGTCATCGAAACATGGCTGAACTAGACATTGGAAAGCATTGCGAAATAAAATCTTGCAAACAAAAAGGTATGTTCTTTGTTATTTATTGTTAGTTAACTGCTAAAAAAATAGGTGAAATAAATTAAAGATGTTTGCACCGTTTAAATCTATCTAATGATCCTGTCTATTTATTAAAACAGACATTGTACTGATGTTTTGTAAAGTGATTCAGCAGGAATCAACAGTATCTGTTCATTACTTATAAAATATATACACCTAATTGTAACATATTTTATGTTTCCTTGCAGATTTTTTACCATTCGTGTGTAGCAGCTGTTCTGGGGTGTTTTGGTAAGTTTTTTATTCTGTTGATTTGAAGATGCTCATCGTGACAATGTGAGAGCTAGCTACACTAATGAGTATGATCAAATTTGATTCTTCAACTTTTATTTTATGGAAACCATCAAGTGTGGAACACAGAAGCCGGGATTCCCATTCTTGTCCAGAGGTGAGTGAAACAGACTGTTGACGTGTTTTTCAAAGAAAAAAAAACTGTTAAATCCACATTATTAATGCAGTGTACATTGTTAAAACAGTGAAAACACCGATAATTTTCTGTGGATTATTTTTTTCAGGTGCCTGTCAAAAGAGATGTTTCTGTGTCAGGGGCAAGCACATTATATCCATGCAGCTTTGAGGACTGCAAAGGGAAAGAACTGCTGCCTGTCATCTGCCCACACTGTGAAAAACACTTCTGCTTGACGTACAAAAACTTGCAAAACATTTTCAAAATCCCTATGTTTCATGTTTTAAAATGGCTTACATGATAAAATAAGTGTCATTTGTTCTCTTCTACTTTTTCCTCTGGTTTTAGGCATCGGCATCAGGATGACCATAAGTGTGAGAAGTTGGAGCAACCAAAGGCTAGGATGGCTGCAACAAAAGAGCTGGTTCAGAAAATAGTGGGTCAGTTTTTATATTTATTTAATTTTGTGACATGGAAATTACTGTCAGATCTTCCAGAGGGTTTCATAGCAATACACTGGAGATGCTTGTTTTTAACCTGATTTCTAAATTGTACATGTACACTCACCGGCCACTTTATTAGGTAACAGGGGGGGACTGGCCATTGGGACATTTCCCGGTGGCCTGACGGTCAACTTGGCCTAGCGCAGTGCGGTCGATTACCTCACTTCGACATGCCATAGGCTGTTTGCAGCTTGATGGACACCTCAAACCATAAATCAGGCGATCGCGATCACCATAAGGTCCAATCATTTCAAGTTGAAATGATTTACATTTACAGTTGAAGTCTAAAGTACAGTTGAAATATTAACCCCCCTGAATTATTAGCACCCCTGTTTATTTTTTTTCCTTAATTTCTGTTGAACGGAGAGCAGATTTTTCAACACATTTCTAAACATAATAGGTTTAATAACTCATTTATAATAACTGATTTATTTTATCTTTGCCATGATGACTGTAAATAATATTTGACTAGATATTTTTCAAAACACTTCTATACAGCTTAAAGTGACATTTAAAGGCTTAACTATGTTAATTTCGTTAACTAGGCATTTTAGGGTAAATCAGCAAGTTATTGTATAATGATGGTTTGTTCTGTATCAGGAAAAAAATATAGCTTAAAGGGGCTAATAATTTTGACCTTAAATGCCTTTAAAAAAATAAAAACTGCTTTTATTCTACTTGAAATAAAAAATAAGACTTTCTCCAGAAGAAAAATATTATCAGACATACTGTGAAAATTTCCTTAATTTGTTAAACATCATTTGGGAAATATTTAAAAAAGACAAAAAAAATTCAATAGGGGCCTAATAATTCTGACTTGAACTTTATATAATCATTTGGCAGGCGGGCATTTTCATCTCCATTGACTTACAGTAGATACAAATAAAAAAAATACAATTAGAGAATGAGCAACAATATGTCTCGTTTAGTCAAATGCAGTGGGATACAACATGTGTTTTTATATAGGCATAGTCTATAAATTAAATTAAAAAATTATAGGTAAAATAAAAGTAAATTGAATTGCTGCATCATGTCTTAGTGGTTCAAGGTTTTTATATAACAAACAAGCAAACCAAAAATCGAATATATGGAATGGAAGTAGAAATATTGTGTGTTCAGAAAGTTTTGAGCCTATTAAGTTTTTGAGGATTTATTAATTTATTCATTAATAATTTGTCTGGTAGTCTACATGGTACAATAAATAATACACTTACAACAGAGTACAATATTAGCAGTCAGAGAATTACATGAAAAGGGTAACGTACAGGCTGGTCTGAGTGTTTCATATACTGCTGATCTACTGGGATTTTCACACACAACCATTTCTAGGGTTTACAGAGGAAAAAAAACAAGGTATGCAATGGAGCATTTTTGAACACACAACACATCTAACCTTGAGGAGGATGGGCTACAGCAGCAGAAGACCACACCGGGTGCCACTCCTGTCAGATAAGAACAGGAAAACGAGGCTACAATTTACACAGGCTCACCAAAATTGGTCAATAGAAGATTAGAAAAACATTGGCTGGTCTGATGAGTCTCGATTCCTGCTGCGACATTCAGGGTTAGAATTCTCATCAGTGTTGGGTCATCCTGCCATGTATCAATGGTTCAAGCTGGTGGTGGTGGTGGTGTAATGGTGTGGGGGATATTTTCTTTGCACATTTTGGGCTCATTTGTTCCAATTGAGCATTGTTTCAACCCCACAGCCTACCTGAGTATTGTTGTGGACCATCCCTTTATGACCACAGTGTACCCCTCTTCTGATGGTCACTTCCAGCAGGATAATGCGCATAAAGTGCGAATTATCTCAGACTGGTTTCTTGAACATGACAACGAGTCCATTGTACTCAAATGGCCTCCACAGTCACCAGATTTCAATCCAATAGAGCACCTTTGGGATGTGGTGGAACGGGACATTCGGATCATGGATGTTTATCCAACAAATCTGCAGCAACTGCATGATGCTATAATGTCAATATGGACCAAAATCTCTAAGGAATATTTCCAGTCCCTTATTGAATCTATTCCACAAAGGATTAAGGCAGTTCTAAAGGCAAATGATGATACAACCCTGTACTAGTAAGATGTACCTAATAAAGTGGCCAGTGAGTGTATATTGTTTTTGGATTTGTTTTGTCTCAACACTGTTTTGTTCCACACGAGGGCAGTAGAGACTCATCTTAAACAGCATGTGATGACAACAAATTCTAAGAAATCCAAACAGTAATCTTTACAATACTTCCAACAGAATCAAAGAAGAACGCACCACCAAGTAAAGGTAGAAAAGGAGCAAAAAATGCTGCAACTGCTGCAAAAGTTGCCCTAATGAAGCTTAAAATGCATGCTTCAGGAGATAAAGGCCTGCCTCAGGTATCAAAGCTATATTTTATTATATTATGCCTTTTTACCATACATTTATGAGCAAATATCACATCAGAGGTTTTCCTTCTGTAGGCAGAACGGACGTATTTCCAGGTGTTTCTGCCCAAAGATGCTAAAGACTCTAGTTTGCCCTTGTTCTTCTGTTCGAAATGGAGTGTCGGGAAAATAGTGGACTTTGCTGCATCTCAGGCCAGTTTGAAGAACAACAACAATGTGCTCGCTGCTAAGGTCAGCCAAACAGCAATACATTTACTAATGAAAATTTTCTGTAGAATTATGTGTTGTTATTTCTTTTATACTCATCATTTTGACATGTTCTACACAGAAACTCCGCCTGTGCCATCCTGAGACAGGCGAAGCCTTCAGGATGGATGCTAGCCTCCAATCACTGCTCTCCCACACAGAGTGTCCCCTGCACAATGGAGGCAATGTCATTCTGGAATATCTGGATAACGATAGTTCTGGACTGGATGATGTTACAACCTATATACCATTGAACTGATAGAAAACCCCACAACCATTCTGCAAAAAGATTTAGAGTGGCCTATACAAATTGTGTCATACAGTTTATGTGCATTGTAAATATATTTCACATATGACATACTGATTATTTTTAATAAATGGGCCAGTGATACAATGTTGTCATCTTTATCTATTTGTTCAAAAATACATAAAAATTGTAGTACACCTTTTAATGAACTATGTGAATTACATGACATGAATACACATCAAAATTAAAACAAAAAGTCTCATTAAAAATATATATACATTTCTTATCTCTGTTATATTAATATTTCTGTTTAACAGAGAGATTTTCTTCAACACATTTCTAAACAATAGTTTTAATTACTAACTTCAAATAACTGATTTATTTTATCCTTGCCATGATGACAGTAAATAAAATTTTACTACATATTTTCACAACACTTCTATACAGCTTAAAGTGACATTTAAAGGCTTAACTAGGTTAATTGGGTTAACTAGTTAGGTTAGGGTAATTAGGCAAGTTATTGTATAATGATGATTTGTTCTGTAGACTATCAAAAACAATATAACTAAAAGGGGCTAATAATTTACTCCTTAATTTGAGTTTTAAAAATTAAAAACTGCTTTTATTGTTGTCGAAATAAAACAAATAGGACTTTCTCCAGAAGAAAAAAATTTATCAGACCTACTGTAAAAATTTTGTTGCTCTGTTAAACATCACTTGGAAAGTATTTAAAAAAGAATAAAAATTCAAAAGGGGGCTAATAATTCTCACTTCAACTGTACACACACACACACACACACACACACACACACACACACACATATATATATATATATATATATATATATATATATATATATATATATACATACATACATACACACACATACACACACACACACACACACACACACACACACACACACACACACACACACACACATATGTATATATATATATATATATATATATATATATATATATATACATATATATATATATATATACATACATATACATACATATACAGAAATATACATATACATCTATAATATAATAATAATGAAAATTCTGTCATTAATTACTCACCTTCATGTCATTCCAGTCTCAGACCACCCTACATCTTCGGAACACAATGTTAGATCAAAGTCTCCAAGCCAGATAAATAAGATCCAGCCCTGGCCACCAGATCTTGTCAATCTTGTCAGTAAATGTCAGTTTCTCTGGGTATCTGGACAACAAGTCAGCAGAGTTTTCAAAACCCAAATCTGTTAACCAGTATTCAACTGAATTAAGAGTCTACTGTCAATATAGGAGTTGACTGTGGAAGGAAGGCAGAAGAGAACAGAAGCAGGAGACGATGTGATGATAATAGAAGAGCAGGGTTTATTGAATAATCTTAGTTGCATCTGTTTCAGTGCCCTCTCATACTTGGTCTGAACAGCACAAATATAACGTTATTATACATCCGGCCACAAGATCTTGAATTAGAGATATCTCATATCAGGGAAAAAAAATGCCATCGCTGTAAGACTAAACAATAGAAATACACTAAAAGCAGAACAAGTAATACAAAACATATATAATAAAAAAATCACTCGTTCATTCATTTTCTTTTCGCCTTACTCCCTTTTTGTATCCGGGGTTGCCACGGCGGAATGAACCACCAACTTATCCAGCACATGTTTTACGCAGCGGATGCCCTTCTGGCTGCAACCCATCTCTGGGAAACATCCATACACACAATTTAGTCTACCCAATTCACCTGTACAGCATGTCTTTGGACTGTGGGGGAAACCGGAGCACCCAGAGGAAACCCACGCGAACGCAGGGAGAACATGCAAACTCCACACAGAAACGGCAACTGAGCCGAGGTTCGAACCTGCGACCTAGTGACCTCCTTGCTGTGAGGCAAATGTGCTACCCACTGTGCCACTGCGTCGCCCCTATTTAAATTAAGAGTTCCCTTATCATCCATTGACAGAAACGGTCATGGGACCGTTCAAAGCAATAGTATCTAAATGCAGCCTTGATGATGCAAGCTGAGACCGCATATCTCAGACACAATGCACTCAATATTAGCTAGTGACGTCAATGTGAGGTAGGGTTATGGCAGGGTGGACTTAGGTGAGCGCATTAAAAAGCATTGCATGCAGCGCAGATTGCACTGCATCAGGCCTGCATTCAGTCCCCTCTCATTCAAAGTATTGAAAATAAATCAAAAACATTTCATGGGAGTTCAGTGGATCAAATGTAATCAAATGTTCTATGAACACTGTAACAAAACAGACTTCGCCTATATCTTCTCCTCCAAGATCAGTGTGTGAGTATAACATGTTAGCATTAGAGTCTCTAGCTCAGCACATAAGAGTCTCCTACTGTCCTACTGCACATGATTTTAGTATGACTAACCACTGGAGACACATGGAATGATTTGACAATGTTTTTGGTTCCTTTTCTGGGGCTTTGTTTATAAAGTGTGCATATGCTCAGATTTGATCTTGTGTACGCTTAAAGAAACACTTCATTTTTCAAGTGCTCTAGAATCATAAATTGGAGTTTTCTGATTACATTCAGCTGATCTCCAGGCCTGGTGGTAGCACATTTAGCATAAATCATTAAATCGTATTAGATCAATAGCATGTTGCACAAAACAAATTTAAAACAGTTTCAATAATTTTTCCATTTAAAGAATAACTATTCTGAAGTCAAACTGACCTTTTATTAGCCTAATGCTGAGACTGCTTTACTCGCATTCTGTAGGCTACACAGTTTATTCCATGTTGCCTTTTTATTTTATTTTTAACTAAAGATTTTGTGATGTCTTGATTTACTAATGCATAAAATCCTCAGTAAATACAGTTGAAACCATGTTTACATACACTCTAAAAAAGTAACATAACCATTTAAAAAAAAAAGTCTGGTGGTAAATCATAATAAACATTTAATATTTTAGGTTCGTTAGGATTATCTGAATTATTTACATTTGCTAAATGCCTGAATAATGAGAGAATTTTTGTTTTTGAGAGTTTTTTTATTAATTTCTAAACAGTCAAAAGTTTACATACATTTCATTGTTTTTTTTTTTTTTTTTTTTTAGCTTTGCTTTCAAACTGCATAACTTTGATCAAATGTCTTGGGTATCCTTCCACAAGCTTTTAACAATAGTTTGAAGGAATTTTGGCCTATTCCTCCTGGCAGAATTGGTGTAACTGAGTCAGATTTGTTTGATGTCTTGCTCAAGCTTTTTCAACTCTGCCCACAAATGTTCTATAGGATTGAGGTCAGGGCTTTGTGATGGCCACTCCAAAAACATTCACTCGGTTGTCTTTAAAGCACATTTTATCTAATTTGGCTGAATGCTCAGGGTCATGGTCTGTTTGCAACACCCATAAGTGGTCAAGTTTTAATTTCCTGGCTGATGTCTTGAGATGTTGCTTCAGTATTTCTACATAATGTTCTTTCTTCATGATGCCATCTATGCTGTGAAGTGGACCAGTCCCTCCTGCAGCAAAACATCCCCTTAACATGATGCTGCCACCACCATACTATACTGTTGGGATGGTGTTCCTAAGCTTGTAAGCTTTCCCCTTTGTCCTCCAAATGTAATGTTGTATGCAGCAGATAACCCTTCAAGCTGCAACCTGTGCTGGGAAACACCCACACACTCTCTTAATTACACAAACACTCATACATTTTGGCCAATTTAGATCATCCAATTCAAGTTTAGTGCTTGTCTTTGGACTGTGGGGGAAATCAGAGCACCCAGAGGAAATCCACATGAACATGGGGAGAATATGCAAACTCCACACAGAAGTGCCAACTGACCAAGACAAGAGTCGAACCAGTGATGTTTTTGTTGTGACTGTGATAACCACTGAACCAAATCTAGAAATGCCAAATAACATGCAGTTTTTTAAACCATTGATTATGATTGTGTACTATTTTCCTATCACATGAAACATCTAAATGTGTAAGCTTTTTCAAAAATTTTGACCCACTTTTCATAAAATGGCTGAAACTTGACACTCCAAAAAAGCCTCTACATCCACCATCAAGACCCTAGTTTCAGGCTTTTTAAAACCTGTGCTCGATATTGGTGTGAACTCTTTTATAATGACTTTAATTAGTAGCATTTACAGGGCACAAATCTGACAGCAGTCAGCTGCACACAATTTGAGTCTTTCCCAGTGATGAGTTTGCAGCTGGACGGAAATAGGCTGCATGAATGTATTAGTAGCTGAGCAGAAAATTAGTTAGAACATGCAAGATTTTACTGCAAACTTTGTTTTAGAAAAGAAACTTGCTATATTAAGCCATGAATGCATTGCTGTCATGTAGAAATGATGTGCTGTACTTATGTATCTTTCTCTCACCCGTCAAAGCCATTAAGCAGAATTTGACATGATGTGTCACCTAATTGCTACAAATGACTGATGGCAGCTTAAGATGTATATATATATACACACACACACACACACACACACACACACACACACACACACACGCACACGCACACGCACACACACACACACACACAGTTGAAGTCTGAATTATTAGCCCCCCCTTCGAATTTTTTTCCTTATTTAAATATTTCCCAAATTATGTTTACCAGAGCAAGGAAATTTTCACAGTATGTCGGATAATATTTTTTCTTCTGGAGAAAGTCTTATTTGTTTTATTTCGACTAGAATAAAAGGTGTTTTATTTTTTTTAAACTCCATTTTAAGTAGAAAATTATTAGCCCCTTTAGGCAAATTTTTTTGTCGATAGTCTACAAAACAAACCATTGTTATACAATAACTTGCCTAAATACCCTAACCTGCCCAGTTAATCTAATTAACTTAGTTAAACCATTAAATGTCACTTTACACTGTAAAAAAAGTGTCTTAAAAATATCTAGTCAGATATTATTTACTGTCATCATTTTCTTGTCGGCTTAGTCCCTTTATTAATCTGGGGTCACCACAGCAAAATGAACCGCCAACTTATCCAGCAAGTTTTTATGCAGCAGATGCCCTTCCAGCTACAACCCATCTCTGGGAAACATCCACATATACACTCATACACTGTGGACAATTTAGCCTACTCAATTCACCTGTACCTCATGTCTGTGGACTGTGAGGGAAACCGGAGCACCCGGA